AAACGTCCCTAGCCTGGCCCTAATACGTCCAATGTTTAGCCGTCCATTAACAGAAGGTGATTAATCGTTGGCTAAATCAGTTCAGTTAAAAGATTAACCACTCATTGTCCAGGTCTCATGGAAGCTGAAACATGTTAGATTATTTTGTCATCAATATATTATATATCCATCTGTTGAGTGAATGTGGTATTAACTGTTATTAAGGACTTGTGTTTGTTCCTGTGAGCTGTTGTCACGTGTCCCTGTGTGCAGAACTCCAGGGTCCACCTGTTGAAGACTGTCCGACTGCTTCGGTTGCTGCGGCTCCTGCAGAAGTTGGAGCGCTACTCGCAGTACAGCGCCGTGGTTCTGACTCTGCTCATGTCCATGTTTGCGCTGCTGGCCCACTGGATGGCCTGTGTCTGGTACTACATTGGTCACAATGAGATCGAAAGCCGGGGCTCCTGGGATATCGGTTAGTGCGCACCAATCTCCATTCTTCAACCTTTGCTCTTAAGTTTCAGCTTGTATGCAGTGCCCTGTAGAGGCATCTTTACCCCCAGAACATCTTCACCTTTAGCACAAATCACCTTTTAATAAAGCTGGATGTGAAACATTAGCCTATCACAGTTTATACTAATTCCATGTAGTTTTCACAGATGTTTGGTTCAGGATTCATGGCTTAATGAAGACAGCTGGATATAAACAGTTTTTTTCTCCGTAGTTGAAGAGTGTTGGAGTTTTGGAGTAGAATTTCTTTGCTGTGAACATTAACTCATATTTTTAACATTGGAGATGTTAAGGAGAGTAATTTTCACCTGTTAGGAAGCACTTTTTGTTCATCAAACATGTTAGAAAAGCACTGCAGGCTATAACATCTCTACTTTTATCACAATATTTTTTTTACAAATACTTCCTTTTACATGCATGGTGAAATTAACCACAATCTGTGTTTAAATTATTAATTTATCCCATTATTTCCTCCATATGACGTGTGAAGTTGTGGAGAAACCGAGACTCTTGCAAGAGAAAGTTCAAATTTATTTTACGTTCTTAGACGGAGAGAAAAGCTCTGACTGGGGCAAACCCAGCACACACATTTATGTCGTACAAATCCCAACACACTCTGCCTTGGGACCAACCCACCCCCTGCATAAAGAACTTTCTCACACAAGAACATTTAGAGGAAAACAACTTCAGTTCATCAAGGACATTCCCTGTTAGTTTAATATATCTTTCATTAGCCAGATAAACATTTCAGAACATGCGTCCTCGTTTCACGGCACGAAGAAGGATGGGGAAACTTTAATCACTTATCTTTCATCACTCCTAGCCTTCCTTTCACCCCGATTAAGCCGAGGAAAAAATGCTTCCACAGACAACTACACAAGATGTTTCTGTTCCTGTTCTATTTATTGACCACTAGGTGGCCACAGTGAGCGTATGATGCTTATAATGCACCACATGTTGTTAAATGTGGGAACACTGATAAATGTGTGTTAGTTAGCTTTAGTTAGAGTGGGTTTCTGTGAATGCCAATTAGCGAGACAAAAGTCTCAAATTTATTTTAGATTTCGACTGAACATTTTTTCTTCTAAATGAGCCGAAGAGAAGTATTTTGATCCCATTATGGATAGATGACCTTCATCCACGGTTAACTGTTACTCCTACATGGGTTTCAGCAAACAGGGATTCTTTTCATTTTCTAAAATGACTTTCTTATTCAGAGGTCTCCTTTTATCCTCGTTCTGTTTACAGAACTTCGCCCCCGAGCTTCGGCTGTCTGCAGCTCCTCCAGAGTTTTAGTTCTTCCAAATTCTGGCCTGTGAGGTTTGCAGCTCAGAACACTATTTTAAAACCCTGCTTCATCATAGCTTCCTGCTTTGGTCCTTCAGGATGATCTCTAACTGTCAGGGTTCTCCCTCTGCTTGAGTTTATTTTTTAGTTTCTTTGTGTTCTGTGTCTTTGTAGTTGTTTTCTACCAGTGGTGAGTCCTTTAGTTGCTCTCTGTCGCCCCCTTGTGCTTATTTCCTTTCCCATTGACTTC